TTCCTATGGTTCACTTTAAGGTGGCGTTCAAATGGTTTGTTGAATGGATACTATTCACAGAGAATAGCTGGTGAACGTGTGGCTTGGAATGGGATAATTTAGGATAAAACTATATGGTAGGTTTCGACAAGAAGTCACCAGGAGGTTGCTGTAAATTAGGGCTGGGCACAGTGCCCCCAATCTACCCCGTGGCCTTGAGCCATGACCCTTCGATCAGGCTGACCCTTCCTGGATCCCAAATCAGTTCAGGTACAGGGTTCATGTTTAATATTACAACCCATTCATTAATCATAAGCACAAAACAACCCCTCCGCAGCACCACAAATCCAACTTAATGGTGTAATGTTAGAAAGCGTTGATCACTTTTCCTACCAGGGCAGTTATCTTTCCATGAGGGCCGACATCAATGCCGAAATCCAGCATCGCCTAAGCTCTGCAAGTGCAGCTTTCTCCCAATTGAAGCGCAGAGTGTTTGAGGACTGGGACATTTACAGGGAAACCAAAATGCTTGTTTACAAAGCTATTATACTACCAACTTTAATGTAAGCCACTGAAACATGGACCACTTATAAACACCACCTCCAACTCCTCGAAAGATTCCATCAATGGTGTCTCCGAAATTTTTTATACTTGGAAAGACAGGCAAGCCAATGGCAGTGTACTGGAAGAAGCAAAGATCACCAGTGTCGAAGCGATGATTCTTCAACATCAACTTTGTTGGACTGGTCATGTTGTTTGGATGCCTTCCAAAACAACTACTCTACTCCCAACTTAAGAATGGCAAGCGAAATATCGCTGGACAACAAAAGAGGTTTAAAGACGCTCTCAAGGCAAATCTAAAAAAAAAAAAAAAAAAAGTAGTATAAGCACTGATAACTGGGAAACACTGACCTGTGAGTGCTTCAATTGGAGAACAGCCGTTACCAAAGGTGTTGTGGACTTTGAAGAACAAACTCAGAGTGAAAAGGAGAAATGAGTTAAGAGAAAGGCAAGTTTGGCAAACCTTCACCGTGATCAACTCCTGCCCAGAAACCTATGTCCCCACTGTGGAAGGACATGTGGATCCAGAATTGGCTTCCACAGTCACTTACAGGCTGACTATTAAGACAATCTTACTCGGCTACGAGTGATCACCAAAGAAGAAGAATACACTCAAGAGGTGAGAAGCCCTTGCAGCTAGAGTACAGGCCACTTCTAGTATTAGCCAATCATTCTTCCATATAAATTTAAGGAGAAGTGAGTTAGAAAGCTGCCTTATACTGAGTATTTGGCTATTTAAAATCTCAGTATTTTTCCAGTTCAGTGGCTCTCCAGGGTTTCAGGCAAGGTTCTCCTGAAGCTCTAGCTCAGGGTTTCCCAAACTGTTTCTGGACTGCAACTCCCATCATCCCTAGCTAGCAGGTATGGGATGATAGGAATTATAGTCCAAAAACAGTTGGAGACCCAAGTTTGGGAAACTCTGCTCTAGCTGGAGAGTCTGGGAATTGAACCTGGTACATTTTGCATGCAGAACAGATGCTTTTCTTCCAAGCTACAGACCTTCCTTCTGACCTCCCCCAAATTTAAATAGGCTAGGACTCTCTGACTCCCTCCCCATAATCAGAGAGGACTTTATCGAGACAATAGCTTGGACATGGGGTAGCAGAGCTTCCTTAGCAGATCTCAGACAATGGAGAGAAGCATATGGAGATGTTGTACCTTCAGATACACCTCAGGTGGAAGTCATGAGTTTCATGTTGATTGGATGTATGTTGGCCACTTGAAATAATTGTTGCATGTTAGCTTCTGGCAAGTGGGTGCGACATGGAGATTCAGCTTTTTTCAACAAGGGGCACCACAGGGTTTTTATTTTCCACGGCTTATCCCTATGCATGTCTACAAAACAGGACATCAAGTTAAATGGCACTTACTCCCAAGAGTGTAGGCATCAGATTGAAGCCTTCATCCAGCAGTTTCCAGAACTCTTGCACCTAGTTGAAAGCAAAAATAGGGGGTGCCATTAAACTGAAGGCAAAGGTCATTGTAAGTCCGTGCAACTCGTAAATGATATAGAAATAAAGGGCAGGCATAGCTATTAAGCATACAGGTATTAGTTGAAATAGAGTCATTTTTCATTGCCAACACGTCTGTCTGGTCTTGTTTTTTCTTCTTCTGGAATTCACTCTAATTCTCGAGAGTAAGGCAAATTTTAGAATAAGTACTGCTTGACATTTACCTTTCCATATATGATAGATATTTGAAAATGAGCATCTGTCAGTGCTCCAGCATCAAAATTAAATTCGCCTTCTGATTAGCCATGCAAATAGCTTGGCCTAGTAATCTCTGCAGCATCTCTTTGGTACTCTGAGACGCCCCTCAGCATTAAGGAATTGTCACTTATCAGTATACTTACCAATTACCATAACGCAAAGGACATTCAAAAAAAGAATGTTAAAGGTTCCGATGATATTAATTTGCCTCCTTCTCTGGTGAATTTCAATTCATATGTGAGTATCCATTTACAATGCCGAGAAAGGAATTCTCCTTTCTCCTGCGCAGGCTCTTGGTGACCGAATCGTATTGTGTTGCTATTTTTAAATAAGATAGAGCCGTCCTTAAACAATATACACTGTGTTCTAACACTCCAAATAAGACAGCTCAGTATTCATAGTGGAGATTGTTGTTTTACACATTTTTAACGTTATATAAATCTGGAGGCATAAGAACCATTTTCGGAAAACATCTGTCATCGCGCAAGTAATTAGGAGTATTCTTATTTGCTTTCTTTCCCTGTTAGTATGATTTTATATTTCTGCGCATTCATTTTAGCAAATCTTTCAGCATGGAATAAAGTGGCAAATTGTGATGTACATTTCTATAACTTGGAACAACATAGACCAGATCTACTGCTATTCATGATAATTTAGGACCTTTTTTTTTTTTTTGGCTACTGAGCATTTAATTAAATGGATTGTCTCCCCGAAGCATCAAATCTATGTAAGCAAGGACTGTATATAAAGCAAGCCTGTCTTCCTTGCTAGCTTCATTTTGGGAGTTGTTAGTACTTCTGATGCACAGCCACCTATGTTTTCCAAAGTGCACAAGGAAGTCAGAGGGCACGCATGGTACCCCATTCTCTTCAGTGAAAAGGACACTGTAGTAGCCCTATTCAGGCATTCAGCACCCATGCACAAAGAGAAACATACACAACTAGGCCTGACATCTTGGCAATGAATTGCATGCTGGACAGGCAACCCCAGCTAACTTATTGTAAGGAATAAAAACGCCGCTTTTTCATAAAAGGTCAAAAGGCTTCAAACAGTTGCAACATCTGAGTAGAAGGTTGTAACAGCTAGCTAACCGCCAACTCACTTGGGGCTTATCTTTACTGGCTTGGGGTTAGAAAAACAGGGCAGCTTGTTGCTAGAATGTGGTTTATCTAGACACCTCAGCACACTTCAGAGGGGTAGAAATCATGTATGCCTAAGGGGGTGGTCAAGGTGTGGTTTGGGTAGATGTGTGAGAGGATAGGAACACACTTCCTTATTTGAGTAATGTAATTAAGAGCAAAAGGGACGTGGGTGGCGCTGTGAGTTAAACCACAGAGCCTAGGGCTTGCTGATCAGAAGGTTGGTGGTTCGAATCCCCACGATGGGGTGAGCTCCCATTGCTTGGTCCCTGCTCCTGCCAACCTAGCAGTTCAAAAGCACATCGAAGTGCAAGTAGATAAGTATAGGTACCGCTCCAGTTGGAAGGTAAATGGCATTTCTGTGCACTGCTCTGGTTCGCCAGAAGCAGCTTAGTAATGCTGGCCACATGACCCGGAAGCTGTCTGTGGACAAACACTGGCTCCCTTGGCCTATAGAGCGAGATGAGCGCCGCAAGCCCAGAGTCGTCCACGACTGGACCTAATGGTCAGGGGTCCCTTTACCTAATTAAGAGCGAGGGTCCCTGAATTCAGGTGAATGGGAGATGTCAACAGGGGAGGTACCTTCCAACTCAGGGGAAGGTGATATAAACTTGTCTTTACTCAACTTGGTTGTGCCTGTATTGGGACATCTATCCTTGCAAGAATGTATCAATAAACTCTTTGCTGCTTCACCAACTTTGCTCAGATTTTATTTTAAGGGTCCCAGGACCCCAAGTCTTGGGGCCGGTGTTTTATTTCCAGTGCCAGTCTGCAGGGGGCTGCTTCTACGTACACAGAACATACAGGGTTCCAGCTCAAGGGGGGCAGCCAATATGAATATTGCAGGCTTTACCTCCGTCGACATGCTCCGAATGCATAGACAATGTGGGCTGTGAGAGCAGGACCGGTGGATGTGAGCAGCCTCTCTCTGATTCTCCTGCACACTATTCATTATTAACCATGTGGAGACTAAGGACCTAAGTGGGCTTACAGCAGCAAGTTGAGAGCCAAAAGCTTAGTTCTTAATGACCATTATGCTAGAGAAGAAAAATTTGGTATACTGAACAAATAAAGGAATGCTCGGCCAGTTTTAGCATATTTCCAAGGGGAAATCATCCTTGCCTGATACTACATTGGCTCCCAGTATGTTTCCGAGCACAATTCAAATTGTTGGTGTTGACCTTTAAAGCCCTAAACAGCCTCGGATCAGTATATCTGTAGGAGCGTCTCCACCCCCATCATTCTGCCCGGACACTGAGACTCAGTGCCGAGCGCCTTCTGATGGTTCCCTCATTGCGAGAAGCAAAGCTACAGGGAACCAGGCAGAGGGCCTTCTCGGTAGTGGCACCCGCCCTGTAGAACACCCACCCATCAGATGTCAAAGAGATAAACAACTACCTGACATTTAGAAGACATCTGAAGGCAGCCCTGTTGAGGGAAGTTTTTAATGTGTGACATTTTAATGTAGCTTTGTAATCTTGTTGGACATGCCACCCGGAGGCTGGGTGCTGGCTATCAATCAACAACAACAAGTAACAACGAACAACAACAACAACAACCATGAGTAGTACCAGACTGGACCTCAGGTCAGAGGTCCTTGAGCAAAATTGAGCATCGTATGAATCAAGTACACATGATCACAGATCGCTGTGAGTCAGTCAGGCTGGATTGGCTCAGAGCAATCTATGACTGTCAGGGAGACAGGCATCTGGTAGGAAAGAGAGACAGGCAAAGCAGGAAAACCGCATTGTAAAGGCTGAGATCTACCTTCTGTTTAGGTCAATATCATGGCTTTCTTTCCCGCCCAACACTCCATTGGATTGATGCTGTTGAGCAGGGGCATCGATCCTGTGAGGTACCATTTCTGCTCCTGCGGGTTGGGGTGCGAAGAAGCACCTGCACAGGACCCAATTCTGCACATTGTCATTAGGAGTCTCCAGATCAGCAAATTTTGCCAAAGGGGGGGGGGGAGTCAAACAACGCCTCCAGGAAAGGATTTCTGTTTTTAGCATGTGGAAAGCTGAGCTATGGGACTCCTTGACATAGGGAAATCTCAGCAGCAAAGAATTTAGCCATTTCCAAAGGTGGATTAGATATCAGATGTCTGTAATTGCCAGCTGGTTATGCCAAACTCTGCCTCCATCTGCCGCCATTTTGAGACTGGTGGGCCTCAGTAATTTTCAGCCATCTGAAGCACATAGGAAGTCTGAGAATCCCTGCAGTATGCCAATGCAACAATATTCACCCAAATCCCTTTGTTGTTGTTGCTTTTTAAATCCTCAGTTAGAGAAATAGGGTGTCCAAAGAAAACATGTTGCTTTGCTGAGGTAAAATAAACACATAATTGCCCTGGAAAGTCCAGTAAAAAGAGCTGTACATTTAATTCTTAGATTTCTTAGTAGCGATAGCTCTGGAAATACTGTAGCAGGTTTGATGAATACCGAACAGCTTTGTCTTTCATCTTTTATTCCCCCCTCAATACATGATGCTTATTAGGACAAATCCTTTCATTCACACAGAGAAGATAGGGACTGTCCGATAGGACTTGTTCTACCAAACATCAGCACTTTGCTAAAAGAAGAAATTCAGTGTGGTGTACCATGGTCAGAGGGCAAGACCTGAGCAATGGGGGGGCCATGATTCAATCCCCACACAGTCATGAATCTGACTGTGTGACCTTGGGTCAGACCCCATGTCTCAGCCTACCTGCCAGGAGCACAACAGCCATGTAAGGTAGATTTGGGCGAAGGCATGGTAACTGAACCAAGGTCATCTAAGCAGCTTCACAACTTGTAAAAATCCCATGTATATTGCCTGCAGCTCTTTAAAAGAACAGCAGGATATAAAGGCGATGCATAAATACATACATAAACAGTTTGCTAATAGCTTGATGCAAATAGAGAGAACATTTTGCACACTCATAAACCTGAAAAATTTCTCCTGATTATAAGCTTCTCCACCCCTGTTGATGTCAACTTCTACATGCTTTGATATGGAAAGCAGTTAACTATACTTTTTTAAAAAAACAAAAAAACCCAACCTATAAAAACCCTCTTTGATGCCACAGCCTCCAGTAAAATAGTTATTTAATTTGTTCACAGACCTGTAGGCAGAAAAAATGCTCTGACAGAATCTTCACCCTAAGACATTATTAGGAGTGTAATGTAATTTTGTCAACTCTGTCTTCTGGTTCCAGTTCTGGGGTTTGGAAGAAACTCTTTTAATCAAGGCAATTATACGACTGTTGTTCTGAAATTCCAATATACTTGTTGAATTATGTTAACTGCTGTATACTGTGCTATAAAATGGTGCCAATTAAAGAGAACTCATCATGGTGTCTCCCAGATGCCCTCAACCTGGTGTCCTTGATATATTTTGGACTGCAATTCCCATCGTCACTGGCCTGTACAGGCTAGGACTTATGATAATTGTAGTCCATAACATACGCAGGGCAACAGCCTCTGTTCTTATTTAGCCTGTGTCATGCCCTGTTTTGTGTGCTTTATTACCATTTGACACAAGATTTTTGTGTTTTATCATTTCTATTACATACCTTCCAACATTTCTCTGATGAAAGTAGGGATGTCCCACTCCGTAATGTTAATTTTACTATTTATACCCCACACATCTAACAGGGTTTCCTCAGCCACTCTGGGCAGCTTCCAACATATATAAAAACATAATAAAACATTAAACATTTTTCAAAGAACACACCTTTCCTATACAGAATTGCCTTCAGAAGGCTCGGGGTTGGATAACTCCACAGCCTTCAACATTTATCCAATGAAAATAGGGACATCCTAAGGAAACGTGGGACATTCCATGATCAAATCAGAAACCAGAACGGTTTCTCTAAATCAGGGACATCCCTGGAAAGTAGGGACACTTGGAGGATCTGCCATTATGTCTCAGTATTATTGATACTGTTTTTTTTCTGGTGGATGACAATGGAAAACAATTCTTTGCCTGGAAATAATTTGGGAGAATCTGCAAAAAGCATAGCACTTCTGAAGAATGTTGGTGGTTCTTTTGCACCCATACCTGAGACAATGTCCTTTACAATACAATCAATTCTGAGTTCAGTAGTAATCTCAGGGCCAGTGGATTGGAGCCTTGTAGTTCATTCTGAAGTGGACCTAAAACTAGGGATGGGCATATTAGCCTATTTCTATACTGTGCTACCTTTGCATGCATTCAAACACAAGTCAGTTCTATCCCATTTTCTACAATTTTTTTTTTAAAAAAACACACACATTAAAAGTGCATATAGGTTGTACATATTTTCACACATTGTCCCATAAAATATGCATTTTTTCACACATTTCTGCTATAAAATACTCAGTTTTGTTTGCTTTCCTACACATTCTCCCTAGCATTTTATTAAAAAAACTAAACCTAATTGCAAAATCTGGAGAAGTACACAATATGATTGTTAACTGCATTCAAATATGTATCAGAAACTGAATTAGCTTAGTTTACTTTAAAATCCAAATTGAACAAGATTCTTCTCCATCTCTGTTGTTTTTGGTGGAAGATAATTGCCTCCTAAATTTTGTAGTTTTTTGTCCAGGATCTTCTAGGTAATAATACCTTCAGCATGAATTTAGTGGCTTCTGACATGGAAGAACAATTGGTGCTTAGGAGTTAGCTTGAAAACCAGGTTCATACCTGCTAAATTTAAAATATCTAAACAATCTTATAGATTATTCCCTTATCTTGATGACTTCATCCTTCTTGCCACTTGACTAATGAAAGCCAAGGATATTTTAATGCTTTCCTTCATTGCAAATAGCTTTTTCAGAGCTAATCTGCAGCAATAAATTTGGCTCATATAAAGACAAGCATGCACTGCAAAATCATCATGAACTTACTCAAATATGACAGATATGAGACCAAAGTTGGGCTGCCCTGGGCTGGAACCTAGCTGAGTGAACTCCCTAGGACTATGTATGGATCAGAGCAAATATCTAACTAGTTCATCATTCTGTTCTTATATTGACCAACCAGATGCCTATGGAAGTCCACAAGCAGGACATGAATATTCAGAGGCATAGTTATCTGGCAATACCCTACGGTTTGGCCAGGCCTGGTATAAATACTCAGAGTTCTTCCTGGTTGAGTGATCAATATCTTCTAGCAACTCTCCAACGCCAGACTTGGACTGATGTGGAGAAAACTGGAAGTCCATATTTGGAGAAGATATTCATGGCCCTGACAATAGATACAATATTCCATAAAGCTCTCTATGGTGAGACCCATTGTTAGGATAATTCTATCTCCTTTCCAAATATATAACCAGTATGTTATTCAACTGAACAAATGTAATTTGTATGCAGCCTTAATCATGCACACTTTTTAGAAACTGGCATCAGGCACTAAGTAAAATCCTGTCAAATGGCTGGCAGAAGATTAACTCTGACACCTAATGACATGCCAAAGTCTGACAGAATAAGAACTTACTGTATAACCAGTGTCAATCATTCAGCAAGTGCCACTTCAAATGTTTATCCTGTTAGTGGAGACATCCATCTGTGCCAGAATTCAAAACACCGCCGTGCCTCGTCGAATGCGAAAAATGTGTTGAATGCGAAAGTGAAAGTACATGAAAATGTGCCAAGAGGATGTGTATGAGTTTAAAGGAGAGAGCGGAGAAAGCGTGGAGGGAGAAAGATATCCCCCCCCCCGGAAATATCCAGTGATTGTATTGATATTACTCATTCGCATTCTTTGTGCCAAAGATCTGATCCCTCAGCTTTCTACCACGTAAAGGATGGGTTCTCTGAGACTAAATAAGTCGTAACATAGAAGTGGTGTAGCAGATGACTCCACACTCCCCTGGCATGCCTTCCCAAAGTGAAACCTTGTTGATGTGTGGTGGTGTGGAGCATGTAACACATGAAGCCACCACAGACTGATTCAGAACATTGGTCCAGATGTTTCATTATTGTCTACACTTCTGAAACCGAAATTCACAAATTCACACCTTAGTTTAGATGGAGGAGGTCCATATCTTACAGCATGGTCATCTCAAGAGAGGCTTGTTCCACCCCAAGCTTGCCAGATCATTTTGCATAGTTCTAGCCCATGGATTCCTCCTTTATATCTCAATAAAATCCTACCATTTGTTAATTTCTAGAGTTAGGTGAATCCCCCCAACCTATAAAAATAGACTTATCTGAGAGGACCCTGAGTAAACATGCACAGCATTGAACACTTAGATACGTTTTAGAATGGAAAAAGAACACTTAGATACGTTTTAGAATGCAAAAAGAGCAATTTAGAAGAGCAATTATTCCCTTTTTAAGTCAAAAAAGTGTCTGCCTCATCCATCAAAAATTTGGGACAGGACCAATGGACTGTTCTATTTTATGTCTCACTCTGCATGACTATTGGCCCCAAATGTTCTTTGTAAATCCAGTCATCCTATGACTCAAGAACACAATTTATGCAGGAACACACTGAATTACTCACTTTATTCTAGTTGATGTGTGGTAGTGAGAAACATGTAACCTATGCAGCCACCTTATACTGAGTCAGAACATTGGTCCATATGTTTCATTAATGTCTACAGTTCAGAAACTGATACGGGGGACTTCCGGGGTGGCGCCATCGGCAATGGCGACTCCCTCTGATCTGGAGGGACTAGCTCCACGCGAAACGGGTCTTTTCTGCTACGGTGAAGCGGGGACCCTTTCAAAAATGACAGGCGGATGAAGCCTGTGACCATGGGACTCGGCGGGCACCCTTAGCGCCCCCCCAACCCGCAAAAGAACCCATTAACGGGCTCTGGAGCAAAGAGGGGGAAGTGGCGCGGTGCTGAGAGTCAACTGCTTCTTCCGTGGAGCGAAGCTGCACAGCCGTTGCTGGAGAGCGCTGCCTTTTTCCTGGGACAATTTGGCTTCTAAAATAATCACCCGTGAGTACCTAAATTCGGACAATTGGATTTTAAATAAGGACTTGTGAGCAGAAAGGAAAATTGGACTTAAAAGTTTACCTCAATTTGGCACTGAAACGGGAAGGTCTAAACAGGAAGTCAGCCTTCCGTTTCTTTGTAGATAGATTAAAGCAAACACATGGCAAACTAGAGCTCAGAAAATCGCCTGTAAAAGATTAACTTTCATCATTTAAAATTGTTGAACGCCCTTCGGAAGCAGGAGAAGAGGGGGGATTTTTTCGGACTGTTTAAACCTGCAGAAGTGAGGGTAAAGTAAAGTAACTTTCCACCGTCCTGATCCTGGATTGTTTTTATTTCTTTTTTTACTACTAGGATTGTTTTATAAAATTGATGAATGTTAGAAAAATGTTGGAATGAAATTACTTGGCTTTAGTAAAAATGTGTAAAGAATTATGTAAGAATATTATGGTTATGAGAAGTTGGTAAAAATAAGATTTAAGTTTTAAGTTTCAAGGTTTTTATAGTAAGATAAGATTAAAATAGTTTAAGGTAATGTAATGACAGAATATTATGAAATATGGAAAGGATTTGCTGCGACAATTAACAACTAGGATACAAAAAAGGGAGGAGGAGGAGGTCAAAGAAAGAAGGTAATGACAGTTGAGGATTTGAGAATAATGGATTTGTTTTTAAATGTTTGTGGTGTATTTTTGTTTTTTTGAATTTGTATTGTTTGATGTGGTTTGTTTTTTTCTTTGCTTTTTCTTTTTTCTTTTTCTACTTTGTTCTCTTTTGTAATTTAAAAAAAAAAAATTCCAATAAATATCATTTTAAAAAAAACAAACAGAAACTGATACGGGGGGAAATGGAAGAGGACGTCTTCACTCCAGTATGACTCCCCTTTATCACATAAAGGTAAAGGTAAAGGGACCCCTGACCATTAGGCCCAGTCTTGACCGACTCTGGGGTTGCGGCACTCATTTCACTTTATTGGCCAAGGGAGCCGGCATACAGCTTCCGGGTCATGTGGCCAGCATGACTAAGCCATTTACCTTCCCGCCGGAGCAGTACCTATTTATCTACTTGCACTTTGATGTGATTTCGAACTGCTAGGTTGGCAGGAGCAGGGACCGAGCAACGGGAGCTCACCCCATCGCGGGGATTCGAACCGGCGACCTTCTGATCAGCAAGTCCTAGGTTCTGTGGTTTAACCCACAGCACCACCCGCGTCCCTTCTTTATCACATACACAGACCCAAAAGACAACAACAGGAATCCACCGACAGCATACAAATCAACATGGCTAACTTGACCCACCCACCCCAAGCAAATCTCACTGCAGCCACCCCCAACTTCTCTCACTACCAAGGAAATATAACAAGCGAATAGAATGAGAACTTACCCAAGTGATGTTGACACTAAACCCCACACATACAGTAAGTAAAGAAATATAAGCTTTACCACACCACCCCCTCTCTCCAGAGGCAGCGATAGCTGCTATGGCACCCAGAGCAGCCCACGGGGGAAGGGCTAGCCGCCCTTGGGGTGCTACGGCGCATGTCCCAGGGGGTGTGTGCCAGGGTGGGGGGCGTCCTGGGGGGCGACTCCTGCGGCAATTTCACACACCCCTTAGGGATGACACCAGGGGCAGACCACCCCCACCACACCCCCTTTTCTCCACCAGTGCCTCTTTCCCCCCTCTTTTTCTTCCCAGCCTTATACTGCATATAACTCTAATGTCTCACACCAAATGTAATAGATCTGTAGAGAACATAACCTGAAATAAAGACAATGCATGTACTTTTGTAAACTAAGAAAATCTTCAATAAAAAACAATCAAAATAAAAAAGCAGAAAAAAATATTGTCTACACCGGGGTAGGCAATCTAAGGCCCAGGGGCCAGATCGCCATCTCAATCTGGCCCATGGATGGTCCGGGAATCAGCGTGATTTTACATGAGTAGAATGTGTGCTTTTATTTAAAATGCATCTCTGGGTTATTTGTGGGGCATAGGAATTCGTTTATTATTATTTTTTCAAAATATAGTCTGGCCCACCACATGGTCTGAGGGACAGCGAACAGGCCCATGGCTGAAAAAGTTTGCTGATCCCAGTCTACATTGACTGACACTAGATCCCCAATGCAAGAACTTTCCCTAGCCCTGCCTGGAGATACCAGAAATTGAACCTAGGTCTTTTGAAGGCAAGTCAGATGCTCTGCATCTGAACTCTGTCCCTTCCCCATTTGAGTCTTCCTTAGCTCCCTTGCTATCTCAGCGATGGCTCATCCACCTATGGCCTAAGAACCATTGCAAAGTGAGACATAGACCTGCCCTCTTTCTAAGCAAGGCATTTGCAGTAAGCCACTTGCATGGCACGGTAGAACAGAAGTTCTTGAAAACACACATAAATGAAGTTGACTCTTGCAAAAATTCACAGCGTGAATGGCTTCTTGTTTACTAATGCTCTCAGTTAAAAGCTTTGCAACTCCGACTAGTGGAAATTAGCTCAAAATTCAAAATCTCAGTAGGACAGGGATGGTGCTTTCCTGCTAGGAAGACGAAGACGAAACCTGCTGAGACCACACCACAACTATTGGTTGCTTTGCTCTCAAGCTTCCTACAGATGCTTTTGAAAACCGGGGAGAAAACATAGCTCCTTTCCCACAATAATTTCTCCTTTGTTGTCATTGCTTTGTATGGAAAAAAGAAAGGAAAGGAAAGATAAGCTACTGTCTGCCTCCTGGGTGCACCGAAGCAAGAACTGGAAATTGTATGTAGTTGTCCCTTTGTTGCGGTGTGGAAAGAGGATGGCCACAGGACCAACACAGGGAGTTCCAGCTATTCAGTGTGAATTTAATACAGTGGATTACATGAAAATATGGACAAGCCCATAGCTTTTTACTGAGCCAGCTTCCATTGGCACAAAAGGCCAGATGTTTGTGAGTTACATTCCGAGTGTAGTCCAGAAGAATGGACAGGCTGCTAATTCTCAGTGTTGCACGATAAAGAGTGCTGTGTGACTCATAATAACTTGCAGAGGGCGTGCCTGTATTTTTAGGTTAGTGTGGCCCAAGAGGACAGAAATAGCTTGCCGAGTGGATAGAATTCCACTGCCAACCCACCCTGATAAGTGGCAGTGTCCCTGCAAGGAACCTAGTGTTGTGGCTTCCCTCTGCTCCTGCCTAAATAACCCAAATAACCTGTAAACTCAAATACTGCTTCTGCAGAGGAGACTTCTTGTTGCCTCTCTAGGCAATTCACTGTCCTGCGCTTGGGCCCCTCCAGACAGCCTCCTCTGATAATTTTGCTATTTTTTCCCCTCTCTCTTTTGTGTAATAATTTTATTAATTTTCACAAAAAACAAAAACTACATAAAAAAGGCATAAAATAAAACATTTAAAACAACTGTATATACAATCCATATTAAATCCATAGTATGCCCTGAACTTTCCTCCACCCTCTCCCTTGGTTTCTTTATAATATTTGCATTCACACATGTCAATAAAGTCTTTATCTCTGATTACTTCCAATTTTGCTACATTGTCTATAATATTACAAGTGTTATTTAAAATTCTGCTAATGTATTAACTTGTGTACATTGCTTTTGTAAATATGCAATAAACATTTTCCATTCTTTTTTATATTTGTTGTCATCTTGATTTCTAAGTTTCCCAGTTAATTTAGCCGTTTCAGCATACTCCATTAATTTAATTTGCCAATCTTCTTTGGTGTGGACTTCTTCTTCTTTCCAATGTTAGGCTGGCAATATCCAGGCAGCTGTTGTTGCATACATAAATCAATTCTTATATTCTTTAGGTAGATCCATTCCTGTACTACCCAATAGAAAGGCTTCTGGATTTTTAACAAAGGTTATTCTTAACATTTCTTTCAATTCATTATATATCATTTCCCAGAATTTTTTAATAACCTTACACTGCCACCGCATATGATGAAACATACCTTCTATTTCTTTACATTTCCAACATTTATTTTTATATATATTTGCCAATTTAACTGGTGTTAAATACCACCTATATATCATTTTCATATAATTCTCTTTAAGTAAGGTACAGGCTGTAAATTTTAGATCATTCTTCCCAAGTCTTTCCTAATCTTTCACCTGAATATTATGTCCCACATCTTTTGCCCGATGATTTTGCTATTTCTCTGCATTACGCTTACTCGGATCATTCAGTCACAACCGACCCCAGAGCAAAGTTGAATTACTCACCCTCAATTTTATCAGGGAGGGCCACCATTTATGTTCATTCCTCCCAGTCAGGAGTTATGCATCACTTCTGGGGCAGTTTACTAGTTACACAACCTCCAGGTTCAAAGGTTGCCTTACACTACAATCTTCTGTGACAAAACACCTGTTGCTGGGGAGCAACAATGGGAGAGGGCTCTTGTTTCCATGCCCTGCTTCAGAGAGGTATCTGATTGGTCACTGTGGGAAACAGGACTAGATGAGCTTTTGGTCTGATGTTGTAGAACTCTCCTTTATGTTCTCATCAATGACTTGCAGAGACCTGGGGAGGGTGAGCTTCTTGTTAGAATTCCTGCTCCATGATTGCAGTCTTGGGATTTTTGTCTATCACATGACGGTGTATGTTTTGACTCCACAGAGTGGGAAGTGATAAAGACAAGATGTTTTGTGTTACTGTGTTTCCTGAAGTGGGATTAGTGTCCCTTGCTCTCTTTCTCTTTGCTGTCTGATGCTAGAGAGAAAGGGAGCCATGTTGCAGTGCTCTGTGTGTGTTTATATGTAAATAAAGTAGATTAGCCAAAATGCTGAGTTACTGAGGTCTGTTACGCATGATGAACAAACTCTGCGGATCCCTAAGTGTGACGGTGTCGGTTGGCATCGGTCGCTGTGATATTCGGACTGAAGAAAGCTTTTGAAGCCCCTGAATGAAAGACCAGGAGGGAGAGAACATGCCAGTTGGGTATGTGCCTCTGCCAGGGTCCTACTTGAGTGTAGGCTGAGCTCCTGACACTTTTCTGGCTACTTCCCACTCATTCAGGACCACGTTACGCAAGGTAAGTTGGAAGTCCTACCAATATCAGTGGTACTTACTCTGTAGCAAGCCTAGGGCTGCTATTCTATACACACCTACCTCAGAGCAAAGCCCCATCAAACCCAGTGTGACCCCCCCTTTGCGTTAACCTACACAATAGGCAGGCCTACTCAGAAATAATTCCTCTGAGTAGGCACGCATAGGATTGTGCTATAGGGCTGTATTCCTATTTATTGTTACAGGCCACCCCAAACCCTGCCGAGCTGTGCACAGGGTTCCAGGGGTCTTTGCCTTCAATCAGGGTCTCTGCTCCGTTGGAGAAATGAACAGGTGACAGAGGCTGTCACAGCTTTAAGAAATTTGATTTATTTACAAATTGACAGTTTAGATGGAGGGGGGTCCATCTCAAGAGGGGCTTGTTCCACCCCTAGCTCGGCCAGATCATTTCCCATAGACTAGCCCAGGGATTCCTCCTTTAGATCCCCTTTGTATCTCAAATAATCAAAATCCTGCCATTTGTTAATTTCTAAAGTTTTCTAGAGTAGATCTCCCAACCTATAAAAATATACTTATCTGGGAGGAACCTGGGTAAACATTCACAGCCTTGAACACTTGGATACGTTTTGGAATGCAAAAAGAAAGAACAATTTGGAATAATTCTTCCTTTTTGTTCCGTCAAAAAAGTGCCTGCCTCATCCATCAAAAATTTGGGACAGGATGATTTAGACCAATGGACTGTTCTATTTTATGTCTCATTCTGCATGACCATTGGTCCCCAGATGTTCTTTGTAAATCCAGTCATCCTATGATTCAAGGACACAATTTATTTATGCAGGAACATGCTGAATATTTACTCACTTTGTTCTTCAGTTTAACACATTCTGTTGCATCTGTAGACGAGTCTTCTTTATTTGTGCATTCCAATATTCCAGCTTCACACTGAGTAGAAAGAAAACATCTTGCCATATTTTTCTGTGTATAAGACACCCCCGTGTATAAGACACCCCATACTTTTGGGGACCCCCTACTTTTGGGAAAATGGGCATATGCACTATCCATGTATAAGATGCCCCCAGATTTTTAACCTTTTTAAAAAGAAAAGTGTGTTCTCCTTCATGGAGAGCACGTGTTGCGGTGGGGGCCTCCAGGACACTCCAAAGTTGGGGGAGGGCTAATTGATCGTTGGCCACTGATACGATTGGGCTTCCCTTGTTGTTGGGAAGAAGTTAATACAGTGGTGCCCCGCAAGACGAATGCCTCGCAAGACGGAAAACCCCCTAGACGAAAGGGTTTTCCGTTTTTGAGTTGCTTCGCAGGACGAATTTCCCTATGGGCTTGCTTCGCAAGACGAAAATGTCTTGCGAGTCTAGAGATTTTTTGTGCGCTTTCCCCCCCCTTTATCTAATCTGCTAAGCCTTTAATAGCCTTTAATAGCCTTTTAGCAGCTAATCCGCTAAGCCTTTAAGCCTTTAATAGCCGCTAAACCGCTAATAGCGCTAATCCGTTAAGCCGCTAATAGGGTTGCTTCTTAGACGAAAAAACCGCTAGACGAAGACTCTCGCGGAACGGATTAATTTCGTCTTGCGAGGCACCACTGTATTGCCATTTGTTGATTGACAGCCAGAAATGCTAAAACTCCTTGCACGAGGCTAGGGCTTCCTCTTTTCACCCGTGCATTGGATTCCCCGCCCCCCTCCCTATATTTAGGGTTGTTCGCTTTGACCTTGCTATGCCTATCATGGGGTCGTCTGCTTTGGAGCAGGGGCCTGGTAGGAATTTTGTCCATCTGGCTGATTGGCTGGGGCCATTTGGTTTTTGCTTACTGTGTAGCAAATCGTCACAACTTGTAAGGTTGCGGTTAGGCATTGGTTTAGGGTTTGGTTGGTTGAGGGGCATGGATTGGCTGTGCCTCTCTAATGCTGCTGCTGCAAGGGATTCTGTTAAAGGAATTGGGGGCTAGCTATTGCTTGTCCACACTGTCAAGGGGGCTCGGGCCATTGCAAGAGCTCCTGGTTGCATTTGGGGAGGGCTGAGGGCAGGTTCCCTGCTCCGTCTCTACCCCAAGTGTATTCCCCTTTTCTGACTTTCGCGGCATGCAGAATGTCAGTCTGTCCCCCATGGGGGGGGGCAGATAGTCGCAACCAATGCCTAAGCAACCACTCGCATGTTTGTATTTTAATAAAGTTGTGGCTAAAATTATGCCAAAAACCTTAAACAAAAACTTCTGTGTGATGTGTGAGTTATTGGGGTGGCCCTGGGGACCTCGACATGCAAAAAAACCCCTAGTCTTATACACAGAGAAGTATGGTATATGCCCCCCTTTGCTGAACTAAAAACAGCAGCAGCAACTTGCAACTCTTTTGAGACTAGTAGAGTCATGATGTGACATGACTAATGCTCTTGAGTGCTGTCCTTCTATTAAATAAATAAATCCAACTCTTGGTGTTTCATCCATCGTACTTCAGTGCCCCAAATGAGCTGCATTTCCACAAGTGTCATGTGGAGGTCAGTGTTACTGCACTAATAAAGAGCTATAATAAAAAGCCGGTTTGCTTAAAATTCAGCCGACGTGGGACAAATGCAACTGTCAGCATTTGGGGGCCCTGAATAGCTGTAAAGGTTAAATATCAATTTGTTTTAAAACAGAAATCAAACTCTCTCTTCCAACTTAAACAGCGATTCTAATAGCTTCCAGCCCATTATCACTACTATGAGGGCACGAGGCATTGGCTTTAAAGTTTGACACCCATAAAGTTGAAAGGAACACACTAATTCAATGCAGATTAGTTTCGGAAAGTTTCTTAAAGGGAAACTGAAACTCAAGATGTGTTTGGCACTATGATTCTGCATTCAGACCTGGATCCAAAAAATCTCTGAAGTCATTAAGGCTTTTCAACTAATGCAGCAATACTAAATGCAGTCCCTATTCAACCCCATTCAGCATAGTAGGGTTTATGTCCAATTCAAAGAAGTGGGTCTACCCTATGGGGGTACAACCCTATTTTATAGGGACACAGGTGGCGCTGTGGGTTAAACCATGGAGCCTAGGGCTTGCCGATCAGAAGGTCGGCGGTTCGAATTCCTGCAGCAGGATGGGCTCCTGTTGCTCAGTCCCTGCTCCTGCCAACCTAGCAGTTTGAAAGCACGTCAAAGTGCAAGTAGATAAATAGGTACCACTCTGGCGGGAAGGTAAACGCCATTTCTGTGCACTGCTCTGGTTCACCAGAAGCAGCTTAGTCATGCTGGCCACATGACCCGGAAGCTATCTGCGGACAAATGCCTGCTCCCTTGGCCAATAAAGCAAGATGAGCACCACAACCCCAGAGTCATCCACGACTGAACCTAATGGTCAGGGTTACCTTTACCTTTACCTTGCAACCCTATTTTACCAAGATTGTTCAGCATAATTATCCTGCCAAAACTGACGACATGCTTTTGGGCATGTCAACTTTTTTGCCACCTTCCTCCTAATCTACTTTACTTAATTGGGATCAGGCTAAAGCACTGCCTCAAATTCCTTGGAGCCGGAAGGAAATAATACTGACCCAATAATAAAATACAAAAATAAAAAGGTAGAAAGCTTCTGGCTCTCACAGCATGCAGAAAAAATGATTCTAAAAATACCCAAATGGGGAAGCCAAAGCTGAAAAGAAGCATTAATTAATTAATTGTCTTATTGTGTTAAGGGTGTGTCACTTATGACACACATGCCATGGGGGCAAGCGGGTAGCAAAGTTATAACAAAGAGTGAATTGAGTGTGGTTTAAATGGGGAAATATTATTATTATTATTAACATTAAATTTTCAAAATGTGATGGACTGTATGGACACCTTCATCCTAACCAGATGTCCTGGAAGAGTCCCTTCCAAAACAAAGCATCTACTTACAAATTAGGCCATGTTCGGCTCAGCTCAACTGTCCTACCCATCGAAGAATATTAAAAAGTTTGATCCTATGGCTGATACCCAGGATAAAGACAACTGTAAGTGCTGCATGGAGCAGTTGTGCCTTCTGCTTCTCGACACTGGGTGATAAAGTATTATGATTATGACTTATCATGATCATCATTCTATTTCAATACACTGCTTAATACTGCTAGGGGCTTCTGTGTGGTTTGCAGGTATAACAAATGAAGTAAGTTGGTACTTGTGGGCCTCTCCTCACCCTTGGGCTTGTAGGGCAGCTCTGTTGTGATGGACACTGCAACTTCAGTAGTCCTTTTCTGGCTTCTCCTTTCACAAGATGGCAGTTAGGGGTGGTGCTTTATCTGGCCCCGCCCCTGCTGCAGCATCTACAGTAGCCCTGCCCCCTGGCAACCATTCATT